TATAGGTATATACAGAATATTTTGGCATTGAAGATAATAGCCCTTCAATATTATTCATCATTTAATGTTTATTATATTAACTAAATATAGTTCCATGTTACTTGATATTCATGTTTACATGGCTTTATCAAAGTTTGAACTCAAATTAAAAATATCTGTGGGCATCATGGCCGATTATTGTGTTTAGAAATTAGGAAGTTCCTGCAATTGAACTTCAGGCACAATACAATATAAAATTTAATTTATATGAATATTTTTAGAGTTCAAGCTCAGCATGGAGACTATTATAGAGCAGCATTGAGATATCTAGGATGCATTGATATAAGCGAACTTTCTGCTGAAGAACAGCACAAACAGGCATACTTTTTAGGGCTTGCTGCTCTTCTTGGAGATGGTGTTTATAATCTAGGAGAATTGGTAAGAACATTGTTTTGTTGCATTATATAAATAGAGCTATAAATTATATAGTATATCTTTTTTGTTTTTATAGTTGGCCCATCCAATACTTCAATCTCTTAAAGATACAGAAAATTCTTGGATGATTGATCTTCTAAATGCCTTTAACAGAGGAGATATTGCAGTGTAAGTTAAGAGCATTTACTGGAAATAATAGTATTTATTTTATTATCTTTAGATACTAAAAATAAATCTAAAAACATAGGGTCAGTGATATAATTTATGTACTTAAAGATGTGACGTTGAATTTTTTTTTGTGAATGAATACTTTGGCAGGTTTTTTCCTATTGACTTACAAAACTGAATGTTTAACAAATATTGAAAATTTTCAATTAATGAAGTTCATTAATGTTAAAAAACTAGTTTTTTACAATAACTTTCATAAATCGAACTACATATTTATTCTATAAATACTTCAAATTACATAATTATCAGATCTTAAAATTATCTATGCAATTATTTTATTTATGAATCTAGATACGAAAACATGCGTCCAAAATGGACAAAAATCACTGACTTGGTAGTAAATGAAATAGCACTCAGGCAGAAAATTTCTCTTCTTTGTCTCATGGAGGTAGTAGCACTCAAATATTAATAATTGGTTAATTGTATTAGTTAAAATTAACTAAAAGTTTGTGTAGATGACTTTCAAGAGGGCTGCTAACAACAGGCAGCTTAAATTTGAAGATATTGCCATGGAAACTAGATTACCTGTTGATGAAGTAGAATTTTTGGTCATGAAAGCATTAGCTCAAGGATTAGTTAAAGGCGCTATTGATCAGGTAAATAGAAATTCAATTCAAAATAATGTTAATAATAGGAGTATATGTATTCTTACATTTCATATAAATAATAACAAAATTGACACATTTTATTCATCAAAATAGAATTTGAATAAATATGCTTTTCAACCCTATGTAATTTAATCAAAATATTTAAATCTTATGCAATATTTGAACATATGTATAAGAAAGCCATCAAAAATTCTTATTTTTAATTTTTTTGATGAAATCATACTACATGGATTTAAATAATACTTTGCTTAGTAGTACATGTAGTACAATAAAAGTTGCAGAAAAAACATTGGTACCTCTGCATTTAACATACTTTATATATCACATTTGTGAGCTGTGAAGAAATATTAAAATAATTTGGTTCGTTTAATTTGAAGATAATATTATTTAAATAAAAATGGTATATGGTCCTATTATAGGTAGCATATTGATTTGATTTGTTGTTTGTATTTGTATTCCTGTGTATACTAATAAATATTCAAAACTATTTATTATGGGTTATTAAATTGTAATAATTATTTTAGGTTGCTGGTGTAGTGAATATGACATGGGTTCAACCTCGAGTTTTAGATAGAACACAAATTGGAGGTATGGCAATGAATTTGGAAAACTGGTGCACACAAGTAGAAGCTATGGAAAATCTAATTGAAGTAAAGGCATCTGAAATATTAACACTTTAAATTTCTGATTCCTATATTTCTGAAAAGTTTGCTTGAAATATTTTATATGTTTAGGCTTATGTATAATTACATTATGAACAATGTTTCCATATATTATTGCTTATAAAATTTTAGACATGTATTTGTTCAATATTTTTATATTACAATTGTATTAATTACACACAAATATATAGACACATAATAAATTTATAAAGGAATTAAAATGCATAATATAGTATACTTTTTATGTTCTCCCTGTATTGTCCAATCAATATAATAGATGATCTTTTATGGAACTATATACATTTATGGAATGACAGATTTAGATTCCATACTTATTAAAGAAAATTACAATACTACATGGTGCAGTATTGCAACTGTAATAATCTTGCATAAAATATGCAGTTATAATTTATAGTAATGAATACAAATATATTACTATAAATTCACAAAATTAAATGCTGATTGTGAAGAAAATACAATTAAATATGCATACATACACATATGTATATATATAGTCTTGAATTTGTGTTTGTATTCTTAACATTTAATCCAAATAAGAAGGTGATATTTGGATGTTATTTAGGATGTTACAATTATAAATAATTTGTCAATTTTTAAAATGCATTATTTCCTGTTTTCCAGATACTATTGTTTTAATTTATATTGTTCATTTACATTCAATCACAATCATCTTCCATGCATTACAAAAAATGGTATGATGCTCATTTTCTAAATGTTTTCAGTTGACCTCACAGGTAGCTTAGAAACATATCCTGATCTTGTTTATTGGATGAGTCTGAAGAACGACTTGCTGAACACATGTTTTGTTGAATAGAAGTGACATCACTTTGTGATGCTGCCATGTCTTTGGTTGTAAGAGCATCAGAACTGCTTGATCCGGAACTTAAGACCCTTTGCTCTAGATTTCCACAGCTGTATTGAATTGGCTGATATCCATGGGAAGGTGTGTAGTTGCCAGAATAAGGCATATACATAGGAGGATTTGGAAGAGGTGTTACATCACTGATAATACTTTCACTTTCACCTAAATTCAATGCTGACATTTCATGGACCAAACTGGGGTCTCCTAAAACATAGTAACATTGTTCAGAGAAAGATGGTTTGTTGACTGTATGTCTTATATGACCCCTTCTGAGCATTAGTGATACATATTTTCTAGCATCTCGTCTATCATTTAAACCTTGGACATGAGCAAGCACCCAATCTACAACATCTGCACCAATAAAGGCATGTGGAATTGTTATTTTTAACCACAAACGATCCCTTATCTCCAGACCGCTGTCTGGTCGTGACATTACTTTTACAACTTCTGACATATCCATATTAACATTTAATTGTGATTCTGGAGATTCAGATAATTCAGGAATAGTATTTTCATGACTTATCAAAGCAGCAGTATGAGCCACCCATGCCCCAGGATCAATTGGACGCACAGGTTCTGTACGGGGTATTGTAAAATATCCTTTAGGCTGAGGGTCCCAACATTTGGCAACTACTAATTTATAGGTACTGTTTTCTGAACAGCCTCTCGCAACACACGGACTGCTTCATCATTACTCATATTTTCGAAATTAATATCATTTACTTGAAGAATCATGTCACCTGGCTCAATACGACCATCCAATGCAACCGCACCTCCTTTCATAATGCTTCCTACATATATACCGCCATCACCTCCTGTGTTTGACTGCCCCACTATAGAAATTCCCAAAAAGTTAACAGTATCCATGTTTAAAGAAACTGTTATAATATTTAAGCTCATAGTGGAGTCAGTTATTGAAGAGTATGAGGAAGTTCGAGATAAGGTAGGGGGCCGTTTTCTTCTTCTTTGCGTTTGTCTCTTTCTGGATAATTGTAATCGACTAACACTTGAGCACTCAGTCATATCCCTATCCAAAGTTATTTCACTTTCAGTGTCAACAAGACTAGTTGCATCTAAATCACTGGACATGACCGAAGCCGCTCTATAGCAAAGAGCACCAGTTGGCTTTCGGTTGAAACCAACCCGATCTCTGCCCATTACAGAATCAGTCTCACTTGCTGGCACTTCTGAATTATTATCACTCTGGTTTGATCCTTCAGCTGTGACTAACCAGCTGACCACCCTTCCATTAAAACAAGGTAAAGGCGCCGCATCATCGGCAATCTCCTCTTTAACGACACCAAAATCATCGTCAACTGACTTAAAAAAAAATTTATAGTTTGGTTTGTTAAGAACTTGTTTGAAGTCGAGCAGAGTAACTTTGTCAGGTCCAATAGGAATTTTTACTAGGTAGGGAGTCTGTTCTTCATCTATGTGGTAGATGACTTTTGTTTCATTCATTTTTGACAGGCCACTACGCACGCAAGGCGTATTAAACCAAATAGTTTTATTATATATAAAACATGATAATTTTGTTATATTAGTTCACTCATAAATGTTTTCCCTATGGAGTAAATATTATTATAAATAATACATAAAACAACATAAATTTATTTATATTTCTTGCCCCACCAAGAATGGACAACCACAAACACTAATATTTCATAATACGAGACATGACGTTTGGCATTAATTTTACGACAAATTCAATATTGACGCGAAGTTAGTAACACTTTCAATTTCGAAATATTCGACGGCTGTAGATGGCGTTCAAAACTGAATAAAAATTAATATGTCTTAAAATTAATATCTTAAAAATATCTGAAAGTCTTAAAAAATTATCAGAATAAATTGATTAGAAATGATGGACTTTTTATTATTATTATGTCTAGGTACTGTTTTAAATGTTTTATGTGACTTTTATTTTTCAATTTAGTACAAGTTGTTATTTAGAATAAATTAGTTTGATTGTTAGATGCATGCTAGATGTTTAGATCATATTTATATGATGTTTAGATGTTTGTTAACATCAGCTTGCATACGCTTTTTTTATCTATGCTTGCATCCACTACTCTTCTTTTATCTATGCTTGCATCTGTGTATCTATGCAGATCTTTTACTCTTTTATCTATGCTTCTGTGTATTGAATTTTCTGATACCTATAAATTTTGTTCTCTTTGGAATTTATCCACTGAGCTTGTTGCGTGCTTGTTGGTTCTAAAAAGACAGAACGCATGGTGCATCATGGCAGTTGCTAATTTAGAGGTTAAAAAAAATCAACCTACGTTGAAAAAACTATCTAAAAAGGGTGCCAAAAAATCTAATAAAAGTAATGCGGACGTCTTGTTATTAGAACAAGAATTAAAATTTGCTAAAGTTCTTGCGGGCAATGATAAAAAACTACGTGACAGAGTATTAAAAAATTTAAGAAAATGGTTAGGTTATCGATCACAGAGTTCATTTCGTAAGTTTTATTTGTGAAATATCGTTAAAAATAAGTGTAATATATATTTGAACATCTAATTAGTTAACGATTATAACAAATAAAAATATAAAGCTAACTTCAGCACTTGCTAAAACATTAAACAGGTTTTATTAATTTCTTCGCTGTGATAAATTGTTCCATACACAAATTTAAAGATACAAGAACGCTACTAATTGATATGATCATAATATTATAATGGTGTAATTACAGGTTTCAAAGAAGAAGATTTTATGAGGATCTGGAAAGGTTTATTTTATTGCATGTGGATGTCAGATAAACCTCTTATACAAGTTTGTTTCTTAATATAGTGAGCCACCATTTAAGAATGTTAAATTTAATTAATTCTTTATTTTGTAGGAAGAACTCGCAGATAATATTAGTACACTAATTCACAGTTTCACAAATATTAATGATGCTATTTTGTTTTTCGATTGCTATTTAAAAACCATGGTTCGTGAATGGTTTGGAATTGACATGCATCGCTTGAATAAATTTATGATGGTAAGATATTATATTATAGTGCAAATGCCAATTTATAAAGTATCAAATTATATAATTTCAGTAAGAATAAATAATAGGAAGTGTTGGATTGGATATTAAATAGTTGGTAAATATTTTTATTATGAAACCATTAATTGTAAACACAGTTTGCAATTCGAGTATGTTTTATTGTATCTCAAATTAATCTGGATTATAAAAGTTGTAATATAGTGCATATATGATTTATTTTTTAAAAAATCCAAGTAGTTTTACTGCAAGATTGTTAGTCATTTATATGGCATATGTTTTTCATTTCATTCTTTCATTTTACCAATTCTTCTTAATTAGGATACGGCTATTTAATACATAATACTTTAAAAAAACAGGTTCATATGCAGTATTAATCCAGAAAGTTTGCATCTGAGTTTTATGAATTTTTATACGATTTTATCATTAGTTTTTTATTACTTGTTGCATCTGAAAATACTTGCAGTTTGTGAGAAGAATGCTTCGACAATTTTTAGTTGCTGTAGATCACCATAAATGGAAATCAGAGATACTAGAAGAGTTTGAATCTGTTTTGACAAAAACATTATTTCAACAAAATAACGCTATGGGTTTAGTGTTACATTTTATTGAAATTTTCATGGAAGAGCTTGCAAAGGTATTAATTTTAGTATAAAAATTTCAGTTGAATATTTCATTCATGGTAATAATTTGCTATGGAGTCTCAAAATTGTTTTTGTTGCCTAAATCACAAATCTTAGGTTTATCAAAATATTATGCTACTTAAAATTAAATTATATGAACTTGGGGTGAACCATTCAATTTTTTCTAATCCGATTGGATTTTTAATTGATATAATATAACAACGAATAATAAATTATTAAATTAAAAGTTAAATTATTTTCTATGTTAATCTATATTTTTCTTCCCCAATGTTCAATATAATAACTCTAAAATATTATTTATAGGCATCTAAGGGAGAAATACAACCTAAATCAGTAACAGCATTATTAAAACCTTTTGCTGTATTTCTTGCTGAAAATGTAGATGCCCGTGTAGGCGAGCATATTTCACAGAATATATTTTTGATGCTATTGCAGCAGTCTGATGCAGGAATCGAGTACCAAGAAAAATTTGAAGCTTGGAAAAGGGTGAGGAATATCATTATTTTAGTATTTCATGTTCAGACAAAAAAAGTTTATATGCTCACAGTGAGAATGAAATTTTCCTCTTGATAATTAAATTATTTCCTTAAACTTAAAATTGGAATGAAAATTTGTATGAAATGGTTTCTGATTTTATTTTATTATATCTATTCTAAAAAAGCTACTTGCTATAAAAATTTCTACTTTATTAATTTTATATATAAATGATAATTTATATAATTTAATCTTATTTGTAAGAATAATGTCTATTAACTCAGAAAGATTTAAACCTTCATATATTAGTAAAAAAAAAAGTATATTTTAATTTGACAATGACAATCTCTAAATTATTTTAGCAAGGATTTCCTGGAGGTAGCATTGATTGTATGCAAAAAGTGGAAATTGATGGATCTGAAGATGATGAAGAATTAAGCGAAATTCTTAACGAAAATCTTGACATTTCTTCAGCTGCCCAAGATCCTCGTGCTGGTCATGTTGACGTTGTTTTACCTCAAATTCAATTTGACGCTTCTTCTATTAGTGATATGCTAGATGGTCTAATTTTTGGTCCAAAGACTAGTGTTAAGAGCAGAAAACAACTACGATATCTAGTTCAAAAGTAAGTTACTAGTGTTACAATAAATGTGTTCAACTTTTTTGTATTTACACTTATTTGCTTTCTATATTATAATTTAAAAAAAATTAAGTTATTATAAAGCTTGATTTTGGTACTTTCTATTTTCTCATTTTTAAAAATATTAGATAAAAGTTTTTAGTAAAATATTTCTATGTAATATTTATACTTTCAATTCATATTTATTCAAGAAATATAAATATGAGAAATGTGATTTAAAAAACAGATGAAAATGCTTATGAATATTCTAGCTCTATTGTATTATTAAACAATTTAAAAATTTATCTGTTATACATTATAAATTATTATGTACTATATATCATAAACTAATTTTAGATTGTATTATTTTCAGATTTAAAAAATTCAACGAAGGAGAATTTCCACTTGGACTTAAAAAAATTAGTAAATGTGATATGAAAAAACTTGATGTGAAAAAAGCTGCATCTGAATTAGAAAAATTTGAACAAGAATTGTATGCAGATAGTTCTAAGAATAAAAAAAGAAAGAAAAATATTGTAACTGGGAATGAACCCATAAAACAGTCTGACAAAGCAAATGTGTTGTCTGATCAGAAGAAAAACACGATTGCAAAAAAACGTAAATCCAATGAACTCCTTATAAATGGTGTAAATAAAAAGGTTAAAAGAAGCAGTAACGAATGGAAAGTGGAAAGTTTACCTAATTCTAAAACCACATTAAATAATTCTGCGACTCCTAGCATTAATGGTTCAGTATTAGACATCTCATCTGAAAATGTTACTTCAACACCAGAGCAAAGTAAAACAAATAAAAATAAAAAAACTAAATTGAAAAAGGCTGTAGATAAATCTAATGAGAAGATACTACATATTTCAACAGATAATATTAATCCGACAACAAAACCCCCAATTAAGTTGGAAAATAAGCTATCAAAAAGTGAAAATAATTTGAGCATTTCAAAGAAACACAGTTTATTAAATAGAAGAACAGATAATGGAAAAACTAAGCCAATTAAGAATAAATTGAAGAAAACAAATAATCAAACAAATGAGAAAAACATACATGAGGTTAATGAATCAGCTTGGGATGAACCATTAAAGGAAGGTGAAATTGAATATTTTGTTCCATTTCGAAAAACTGTGGCACAAAAAACAGTTGTCCCTGAAAAAGAAGAGTCTCCCTTAAAAACCAACAACCCTATTTCAAATAAGAGAAGGAATTCATTGCCAGAAAACTTAAATGTCAAGAAAAAAGAAAAACTGCTCCTAAACCCGTTTGCTGTGGCATCATCAAAAAACCCGTTAGTTCAAGCAGAGACTCCCAAAAGTAAAATGAAAATCAGCTTTGTGTGACACCTAAAAATTTAAATTTGTTAAATAAATCAGTAACATCTTCAGAGAAACGTGTGAAAATTGTGCTCAAAAGAAATTGTTCACAAAATACAGAAGACTATGTTCAACAATTACGTAGCTCTCCTCAAATTCCATACGATTCAGAAAAAAAGCCATTAAAAACTTCTCTAAAACCTAGTGTTGGACCTAGTCGTATAAATCCATATTATAAATTCCAAGATGAGAAACATAAATAATTTTATAGCTGAATTTGACTGAATCAATTTAAATTTGAATGACTTGTCATCATTAGGAAAAGTTATTAGTAATTTAAATTTGACACAGTTATTGAAAACACTTATGACAAAATAAACAAGTTGCTATGAAAAATCTTTGAACGGTGAGGTAAAGTTTTTGCTATAAAAATGAATTTGTTCTTTTTTTCTTTCCAGATTATAAACATTATTTTTTCAGGACACATTTATGCCTTATAATATATATATATATATATATATATATATATATATATATATAATTTAATTAACTTCTGAGATGATTTTATCAAATATTCCATGTTTTGTTTAAGGGCGATATTGAAATAATCTGCCAGAGATCGTATAAAAATAATTTCTTTTGAATGTCTCTGTTTGAACACAGCTTTCAAACAACCCCACCAGCTAAGGCTCTTCGTACTTCATTGCAAGTAGTAAGGTGAAAATGATTTTGTTTTTAAATATGAAAAACTGGCATGATGGAAGTATTTGATTTCGAGTTCATTTATTGCCAATTCTAGACTGCTGGATTTTACATTGTTTCTTTAGCTCTTGAAACAGTTGAAGACATCATTAGTAGTGTGATTTTGCATACTTAACATATTATTTCTTTATATTTAACATAAATTTGAGATCAGTAATTTTAATTCTGAAGAAAATTTTATTGAAATGTTTTGAAAACTGTCTTGATGAAATCTACTGATATTTATTTAGAGATAGAATAATGTTTAAACATAAGATTATGAAAAAGAATTTAATTGTTTTGTATCATAAAATATGTAAATAGATAATAAAAGCTTTTATAAAAGAAAAAAGTATTTTTTGCATATTTGAAATGTTAATCTTTAATTAGCGTGCCAGCGTCTCAAAAAAAAAATCTGCAATGATTTACTACATCCAAATATATAATATCTAAGAAGGTGCTATTGTAGGACAGCAATCCTTCTCACGCTGTCAATTAATATATACCTATAATAATATATAGCTGAATGTACTGTCTATAGTTTGGTATGAACAATAAAACTATTACCTATTTAACATGCTTTATTTGAATAGTAAGTTATTTAATATTGAATAGATACTACTGTAAAAACATTCAAAATTATGTACAAGCAATTAACCTCTGTATTTATATGATCAATTATTTGTTGTAAATTTATATTTATGAAAATTAGTGTTGTGAATAACATATTCTAAAATATGGCTATATTTAAACTATCTTGTAAACCGAGTATAAGAGAATTAAAATATTGAAATAACTTCTGTTTAAAACAAAAGTCAATGGAAAAACTAAGTTATTATATTTAATATATTTCAATTTATTTATGGCGAACATTTAGCTTTAAATTACTTTTTGATGCAACTTACTTTAAACTGAATATGTTTTACTCATATTAGTCAGTTAGGCCATATACAAGTGAATATAAAACAACAGACTATTTTTCGATCATGCAATCTGCATAATGATACTCTAAAATTTTAAGATGATTTTAAAACAACGTATTTAATAAATAATTTAACAGAACTGAAATTATATAATACATAAAGTCTGTCTATTTATAATATGCAACCGAATGGTTACATTTGATTTTGGCGCTATTTGATATAACATAGAAAGGAGAAAATCAGGTGAGTTTTATGCAAACAAATTCAGACGTTGGTAGCACTGTGTCTTGAAGTAATCATATACGTGTCTATGCCTTAAGTCTGAAATATTTCTCGTATCTCTAGTTTCCGCCTTCTTGATTTCTTTTCTCTACAGCTAGTGATCATGGCGGTAGGCAAGAATAAAGGTCTGTCAAAAGGGGGCAAAAAGGGCGTTAAGAAGAAGGTGTAAGTATTAAATACATTATTAGATCCGTGTAATTTTAATTGATGTTTTTAGTACTGAGTTGATTTTCAAATGAAAAATATGTTGACGGTTGATGTTCAGAGATTACATAGAAATCGTGTTCAAACTTTTATTTCATTTGTCATAAATTTATGATTACTAAGTCCTAATCGGTAGTGAGTTACTAAAAACAATGTAGTGTTTGGTTAGTTTCATTTTAATTGAAATCGTGGCATAACCTAAAATATTTTTTAGTGTGGACCCCTTCACACGTAAAGACTGGTACGATGTCAAAGCCCCCTCCATGTTTGCTACCAGGCAAATCGGGAAGACTTTGGTGAACCGCACACAGGTAAGTTTAGATAATGTGCTAAATTACAACTTACAATAATCATTGTAAATGAATTAAATCAGATTTTGTTTTTAGGGTACACGCATTGCTGCGGATGGCTTAAAACATCGTGTTTTTGAGGTGTCTTTAGCTGATTTGCAAAACGATCATGATGCAGAACGCAGTTACCGCAAATTTCGCCTTATTGCTGAGGATGTTCAGGGGCGAAATGTTTTGACTAACTTCCATGGCATGGATTTAACCACAGATAAATTGAGGTGCTTTATTTTTGTCCCATACTTATTGAACTTTGCTATCTACATCAGAACTAATATCATTTAATAATATAATTTCAATTTCATATCGTGGATCAGCCTATATGATACTGATTTGTTTAGTTTCTGATGTAGATCATGTAATTTCATTATCGATATGATGATAATCTCAGCTCGCTTTGATACAAGATGAAGATAACTTCTTGTTCCCTAAACAACGCAAATTAACTTCTGAAGTACTTCTTGTTACATGTCATTTTTTTAATTAAAATGTGTTTGTGACATACAATTTTTCTTTCTAGGTCAATGGTAAAAAAATGGCAATCATTAGTTGAAGCTAATATTGATGTGCGTACCACTGATGGATATTTACTCCGTGTATTCTGCATTGGTTTCACCACTAAAGACCAAATGTCTCAAAGAAAAACATGTTATGCACAACATTCTCAGGTTTGTATAATATAATATATAGTATAAAACTCATTTAGAATGATGATATTCTCAGCTCGCTTTGAACCATATCTGAAGAAAACTCTTTGTTCCCTAAATTTATATATTATCTGATCTTAAAAACTGTTCAAGTAACAGTGTTATCATAATTGTATCATATTCAACTGAACTATATTTTCAGATCTGTGCAATTCGCAAAAAAATGTGTGAAATTATTACAAGAGATGTAACTTCTTCAGACTTAAAAGAAGTTGTAAACAAATTGTTACCAGACTCCATTGGCAAGGACATCGAGAAAGCATGCCAAGGAATATATCCATTACATGATGTTTTCATTCGCAAGGTATGAATCAATTACATATGATACGAATTTATATACATATATAATCTAATACATAACATTTTACAGGTGAAAGTATTGAAGAAACCACGTTTTGATCTATCTAAGTTGTTAGAATTACATGGAGATGGTGGCAAAGGTACTGAAGGAGTTACAGAAGGTGCTCAGGTCGATCGTCCTGAAGGATATGAACCTCCCGTACAAGATGCCGTATAATTTTATATATTGCATATATTCAATAAAACAGTAAAATTACTTCTGTGTTTTTTTGCAAATTAAGTTTCAATTCAAAACTTATTTTCAGTAGATTCTCTGCAGCATTTATTAAAATGCTTTCTTTCTCATATATATTCTTATTCATATTTTTTTTATCAAACACATATCAATATTTAAATAATAGCATAATAAAAAAGTAATGTCTAAATATAAAAAAATTGCAACACTCAGTGTAAATAAAACAAAATATAAAATTGCAAAATAATAACTTTACAGTGAAGTAACATTATTTTTAAACATTTACAAAAACATGATTTTGTACCATCCTGAATAAGTTTATTTTTAATTGGGATTATTCATATTTTTCATTTCACCACTGTTATGCTGCTATATTGTAAAAATTTAATTGTAAAGCTTATGTAAATTATTACCAATCACAAAATAAGTTTGCAAGGTCATTTATGAAAGTGCAAATCATTCCTTCACTGGAATGTTTGGGGCATGTGATAATGAATTATTTAAACTCATAATTATCTCTTATTAAATTAACTTATCTCAAATTTTATTTTATTTTACAGTTCATACAAAATTTGTGTACTTGATTTGCATTTTTTTGATATTCTTTACAGTTGCGATTGTTATTGAGTACAAAGCGAAATAATTATTAATGCAAAAGCAAAAGTGCTATGTCATTTTTTTGTATTCTTGGGGATTGTGGTTGTGTATTTTATTTGCAAACAATAGAAGAAAACTAATTAATATTATACTCCTAATTTTACTTTATTCCGAATGCCAAATACATTATATTCAATACAAATAACAACATAACAATTTTAAATTAAGGTTTGCAGATTCCAATAACACCACAAGCCAATCGAGCTCCAGCATTACCAGTGGTCTTGCTAAGTTCATGACCACCTAATCCAAGATCATCGGGATCAGCATGTACAACCAATGTTCTGCCTATAACGCTCATAGGACCTTGTAAGGAAATTTGACTGTCGGTTATTTTCACTTTAGCGTTTCCATCGGCATCAGCTACAAGATTTCCCAAGTCGCCGACATGTCTGATAGCAGAATCAGGTCCTCCATGGTCTTTACCGTGGGGATTAAAATGTGGCCCAGCTGAAATACATCCATTTGTGCTGTCACCGAATTCGTGGATGTGGAAACCGTGATCACCCTTGCTTAAACCACTAACGCATCCTGTTAGTGTGACAGGTGCTTCTGGACCGCTTTGATCGAAGTAAATGGTTCCCTTAACTTCCCCGTTTAAAACGCAAACTGCTTTAGTAACCATATTTTATTACCGACTTTGACTGTGACTGATGCAAAACTGAATCGAATTAGCACCAAATCAATCGTACTTATGCAAGCCAAGTAAAGCGAATGCAAATGATAATAATTCACTTGTCATTCAAATACCCTACCATAAGCGGTTAGTTCGTTTTATATAGATTTCAGAGACAGATATAACATATATACCAACCCACAAAAATAGTTAGCTTTTGTTTCTTATATTGTCAGATTGACCCTACTGTCAGTAATATTTATTGCTTTTAGTCTACTTCGTGTTTGCTACAGCAATCTTGTTTACAACTAATTTGTCAAAGTTTAGCATTTAAATTAATTAATTTCGTTAAACCTAATTAATTAATAATTATACAAACAATATATGTATTTGTGATATTTAGCAATAAGTGAATCAATGCACTGTTCGTGAATATGGAGGAAGTAGCAAAACTAGAGCATCTATCATTAGTTTCAAAAATATGTACAGAATTAGAGAATCACTTAGGGTTGAATGATAAAGATTTAGCAGAATTTATTATTGATCTCTCTGAAAAACATAATACAGTCGAAAGTTTTAAGAAAGTTTTAGATGAAAATGGAGCAGAATTTTCAGATTCGCTTGTCGCAAATCTGCTGCGCATTATTCAACATATGCGCCCAAAATCGCAACGAATAGAACAAATTGTAACCTCTCAACATACAGATGCACTTTCACAAAAGTTTCCTGGTTTGGCAATTCCAAATTCCATTGCTTCACAACTGGATGATGAAAAAGAAGATGATAAAACTGATGATTCAAAAAATGATATTAATGATGTTATGGCAGAATTCGAGTCATTGGCGCCTTCAAATATTAAATCTGATAAGGTTGCCAATTGCAGTAAAAATGATGAAGTTGATTTAAAGAGTGATGAAATTAAAGATAATCATAGGGACACTGGTAGAAAACCTAAAAGCAAATATAATGATAAAGAATATGATAGGGATCGAAAAAGATATAAAGACAGAGATCACGATAAGAACAGACATATTTCAAGGCGTCACAGGAGTAGATCTACATCTGTAGATCGGTCCAAAAGATGCAGGAGTTCATCAAATTCCCGTAGGAGAAGTAGGTCTCATTCAAGATCCAGGAGAAGTAGGTCACATTCAAGATCTAAGAGAAGTAGGTCGCATTCAAGATCCAGGAGGAGAAGATCACGCTCAAGATCCAGGAGAAGAAGCAGGTCTAGAGATAGAAGCCGCACTAGGCGAGAAGTAAAGATGACATCCAGGAATAGGAATAATAGAGAATCATCTGATCGATTTCAATCAGATAAACAAGATCTGAAAGACAATCCAGAACCAGGTCATATATATTCTGGTCGTGTTATGAACCTAGTACCATTTGGTTGTTTTGTCCAAATACTTGGTATTAGAAAACGTGTAGAAGGATTAGTTCATATCTCTCAATTAAGAGCTGAAGGAAGAGTTACTGATGTTTCAGAAGTTGTGTCAAGAGGGGCTGCAGTAAAAGTTAAAGTTTTGTCAATAACTGGACAAAAAATTTCATTATCAATGAGGGATGTTTGCCAAGTTACAGGTAAAGACTTAAATCCTGAATCACATGCACATTTGCATACAAATATTTCCGATGATTTAAACAATCGTAATCCTGATAGGCCTCAACAGAGTGCAACTAGTATGCTTCAGCTGCACGGAAATATAGATGATGATGAAGATGTATCAAGGAAACGAGTTACAAGAATATCATCTCCAGAACGGTGGGAAATAAAGCAAATGATTTCATCTGGTGTAATAGACAGATCAGAATTACCTGATTTTGATGATGAAACTGGGCTTTTACCTAAAGATGATGATGATGCCGAAGCTGATATAGAAATTGAAATAGTAGAAGATGAACCACCATTTCTTCAAGGTCATGGTAGAGCATTGCATGATTTAAGTCCTGTGAGAATTGTGAAAAATCCTGATGGAAGTTTAGCACAGGCAGCCATGATGCAGTCTGCCCTAGCCAAAGAGCGTAGAGAGCAAAAAATGTTGCAAAGGGAACAAGAGCTTGATGCAGTTCCTACAAATTTAAATAAAAACTGGGTAGATCCATTGCCAGAAGATGACAATAGATCTTTAGCGGCTAATATGAGAGGTGTAGGTTTGGCTCCCCAAGATTTGCCTGAATGGAAAAAACATGTAATTGGTGGTAATAAAAGCTCATTTGGTAAGAAGACAGATTTAACATTATTGCAACAAAGACAAGGATTACCTATATACAAATTACGAGAAGAACTAATTAAAGCTATTACCGATAACCAAATTCTCATTGTTATTGGTGAGACAGGATCCGGAAAAACTACACAGATTACTCAATATCTAGGTGAGTCTGGTTTTACAGCACGAGGTCGAGTTGGTTGCACACAACCAAGGAGAGTAGCTGCAATGTCGGTTGCAAAACGTGTTGCAGAAGAATATGGTTGTCGACTGGGCCAAGAAGTCGGATATACTATTCGATTTGAAGATTGCACTGGCCCTGACACTTTAATTAAATACATGACAGATGGTATGTTGCTAAGAGAGTGTCTAATGGATTTGGATTTGAAATCATATTCTGTAATTATGTTAGATGAAGCTCATGAACGTACTATACATACTGATGTTTTATTTGGTCTTCTTAAGCAAGCTGTTCAAAGACGTCCTGAACTTAAATTAATTGTTACTTCAGCTACATTGGATGCTGTTAAGTTTTCCCAATATTTTTTTGAGGCGCCAATATTCACAATACCCGGTCGAACATTTCCAGTGGAAGTACTATATACTAAAGAACCAGAAACAGATTATTTGGATGCTAGTTTGATCACAGTCATGCAAATACATTTGCGTGAGCCTCCTGGTGATATACTTTTGTTCTTAACAGGTCAGGAAGAAATTGATACGGCATGTGAAGTTTTGTATGAACGTATGAAAAGTTTAGGACCAGATGTACCAGAGTTATTGATACTACCTGTCTATTCTGCATTACCCAGTGAAATGCAAACTAGAATATTTGATCCTGCGCCACCAGGCAGTAGAAAAGTAGTTATTGCAACAAATATAGCTGAAACTTCATTGACAATAGATGGGATATATTATGTAGTTGACCCTGGATTTGTAAAACAGAAAGTATACACTTCTAAAACAGGTATGGATTCTCTTGTAGTAACCCCTATATCTCAAGCAGCAGCTAAACAGAGAGCTGGAAGGGCTGGTAGAACAGGCCCTGGAAAATGCTACAGGCTTTATACTGAACGTGCTTATCGTGATGAAATGTTGCCTACTCCTGTTCCTGAAATACAGAGAACAAATTTAGCTACTACAGTTTTACAATTAAAAACTATGGGAATCAATGACCTTCTACACTTTGATTTTATGGATGCTCCACCAGTTGAATCATTAGTAATGGCGTTAGAGCAATTACATTCATTATCAGCTCTTGATAATGAAGGGTTATTGACTAGATTAGGGAGAAGGATGGCCGAATTTCCCTTAGAGCCCAATTTATCTAAAATGTTGATAATGTCAGTAGCATTGCAATGCTCTGATGAAATTCTTACAATTGTTTCAATGCTATCTGTACAGAACGTTTTCTACAGACCCAAAGATAAACAGGCCCTTGCAGATCAAAAGAAAGCTAAATTTAACCAAGCTGAAGGCGATCATTTGACATTATTAGCTGTTTACAATAGTTGGAAAAATAATAAATTCAGTAATGCTTGGTGTTATGAGAATTTTGTCCAAATACGAACTCTAAAACGAGCACAAGATGTGCGCAAGCAATTATTAGGAATAATGGACAGACATAAACTTGATGTGGTTTCATCTGGGAGAAACACTGTTCGGGTACAAAAAACTGTTGCATCAGGCTTTTTCAGAAATGCTGCAAAAAAGGACCCACAAGAAGGTTATCGAACTCTAGTAGATTCACAAGTAGTTTATATACATCCTAGCAGTGCTTTGTTCAACAGACAACCAGAATGGGTTGTGTATCATGAGCTTGTACAAACTACTAAAGAATATATGAGGGAAGTCACAACCATTGATCCCAAATGGCTTGTAGAATTTGCACCAGCATTCTTCAGATTTAGTGACCCTACAAAATTATCTAAATTTAAGAAAAATCAAAGACTGGAACCATTATACAATAAATATGAAGAGCCTAATTCATGGCGAATATCAAGAGTTCGCCGAAGAAGGAATTGAATCTTTGTATGTGGAATACTTGAAATTTTATTTATATATAATATATAAATATATAATAATCTTCTGAAAGATAAAATTACAATGAAGTTATTTATGAGAACACAATGACATGGTATAGTTTTAATACATATATCACTATTAAATTTACTAAATATTTGTATTGAGAAAAGGTGTGATCTATGAAAAAATAAAACGTTAATTGTAGTAATAAATAATTATTTAAGTAACGACTTTGTTTTTGATTTAAAAAGTTCTATAGTTACATTTTATTCAATCAATAAAATCCTTGTTTTATGAAAACTTATAACCCGCATCCTATCGTGTTTTGATGCCAACTCTAATTGTTTTTAATGTACTTTCAGTGCATTTATAAGGAGTTACTAATAATTTACTGTATGGAATAGTAATTTATCACATTTATTATCTTTCGGAAGAAAATTTTGTTGTCGATTTGCTAATTTTATGTTTTCACGGCGTTTCAAGTCATTATTAATCGTTTGATACCTGAAAGGGAAAAAGTGCGTACTTATGAATATGTTGTCGACTTTTTCTCTAAAAGCGAAAAACGACAAACACTTCTTAGTTTTGCCAGAGGATCAGCCTAACCGTTTCTTTAAAAATAGCTGCAAGGTGCATAAAGCATTGGTGATTCGCTTTATCTGAATTTTTTTATAATAATGAATATGCACATTAGACACGTGGCATAGTTTACAGTTCATAGTTTTACTTTAAAAAACTTTTCGTGGGAGAAGTTTGTGTTTGCTGAAAAATCTGATTTGCTCATTTTATGTTATACTCGATAAGGACTATCGTTTCTCAGGTTGCGACGATCGGCCGAGCCGCTTATTTGTGATTAGCAAAATTTTGCATCGGTTTTGAAAATTAAAAAATATGTCTATTCAAAAGATGTTATTTGGGTATAGTTTTTTTTTGTTATAATTTCTTTTTGTTAATCAAGACTTTAATGTCTTATTTACAAAATTGATAGGTGCAAAAAAAGAATTAAGACAAAAAAATATAAAATGAAAAAAAGTTAAAATAAAATAAAATAATGATAATCGGTAATAACAATAATACAAAAATAATAACATAAATGAACTATGACGTGATAATGTAAGCCGCGTACTAAATTTGGGTATCGTCGTGCTGATTAATTTTGGGCAAATGCCGACCAAACCGTTTCTTTGTAATTAACTGTTGAGAAAAAATTCGATGAAAGTTTTTAAGTTGATAGATATCATGACCATAAAGAACATACTAAAATATTACGGTCTTACGATAAGTCGTTCAATTTTAAACATTTATCAATATTTTAAAAAATGTGATAGTCAGAATTTGTGTCAAAAGTTGCTTTTGAGATGTGATAAAGTCAAAATTTGAATTTCATAAATTTAAAAGCATTTGGAATAAACTAAATAAAGAAGAGCGGAGAAAACGCGATTATAAATGGCTTTGGAATTAGCAAAAAAGTAAGTAAGAGTAGTCTACAAAACTTCTCTAGTTGTGTAAAAAATGTTATCTAATAATATTAAAATAATATTAATTTATAATATTAATTTACGATATTAATTTTATAAATTAATTTATTATTTATAAAATTAATATTATTTTATACTCTAATATTAAATTCAAATGATTAAATAATATCAAGAACTACGTACATGATATATGTAATCGTACCAATATTTTTTATAACAGATGCTTAATATTTCACAAAATAATTTATTGACTAGATTTTCTAAAATATATATTTCGACGTTTTTAATAAATTTTAACTTAGCGATAAAGTTCATGCACTAAACAGTCCTAAATTGATTGAATTATATAAATTAATTAAAAATCGGTTTAAAAAGCTAAAGAAAAATTTTAGTATATACAAGCGACACGTGCACTATAATTATTATAACAGATAATTTAAATGTGTTTGAGAGAATTCAATTGGAAATTGATGCATTGCTTAGATTTAAGTTACAGCGAAAACTTTTTACGAATGAATGAAAATATACGAAATGAACAGTTGAAAATTTTATCTATCTCTCATATCTATTCTCAGTTTCGGTTGATTAAGGGGCACACCTATAGGTTTCTATAGTGTGAAATTTTCAAAAAATCGAATTTCATTTTTTGCCATAGATTATTGTTTTAAAAATAACATACTAAAATTTTAAATCGATATCTAAAATAGTTTCTGAGTTACAGCTGTTTGAAATAGTAGCATTTATAATAGTGAAAACGATCATTTTATCTTTAAACGCGTTTTTTTCGAAACAGATTTTTCGAATTTGCTGGACTGATTACTCGGAGACAAATGATCCGATCGCTATCAATTTTTTTTGCATCTCCTCTATATAGTTCTCCATACAACGACCCTCCAGTTTTTTGATCTGATCAAAAATAGAATTTTGGCAGACCAAAAACGACCAAAATTTTGGGAAAAATTTAACTTTTTATTCAGCATGCCGCTATTTTGTCAATATTTCATTTTTTTGTTCTCCCGAGGGTCATCGTACAGAAAATATGTTATAGTTTCACAAGAATTTTTGCTTTTTTGTTTTTATCAACGGAGAAGGAGGCTGCAATCACTCCAGCAGTAGAGGACCCAAGGACCTTTTTTTCTTGGCGCCGCCGAATTTCGCGTGTCATTTCAAAAATATTTAATATTTTATTTCAAAAAATTTACTGTGTATTCTCAAAACATGTATAAATTTACTCTTAACGGATTCACTGGTTTTGTTATTTTTTAATTCCCAAAAATGGCCTTTTTTAAGGTTGTCACACTAGGCAGTGCCCCTTAAGGGGTTACACCACTGTAGCATTAAAAAAAAAACGTATTTTTTTGCCATTTTTTTTCGGACGGAAGGAAAAGTATTAAAATCATGATTAAAGATAATTATTTATTGTACTTTAAAGTAACAAAATAAAAGATAATTGTAAAAAAAAATTAAAAATGGCGGTACCACAGCTATTTCGGCAAGCCGCGTCAAATTCGCGGCACGCAAAATAACTACAACAATTTTAATTTTTTGAATTCGAGTTTTCAACAGCATATTTATAATAACATTTTAAAGTGCCCATCATAGCGGATTTGAAAAATATCGATTTTTGTTTGTTTGTCGAGCACTTTATTCAAAATCGTTGAATTTCAACGAAAAAAAAACGGATAGTAATTTGTTAATAATTGATGAACAAATTAACATATAGAAGATCTCCTATGATGGGCACTTAAAAATGTAATTTTAAATATACTGTAAAAAATTCGAGTCAAAAAATTCAAATTGTTGTAGTTATTTTGCATGCCGCGAATTTTGATGTGGCTCGCCGAAATGGCTGTAGTACCGCCATTTTTAATTTTTTTTTTTAGAATTATATTTTATTTTGTTACTTTAAACTGCAATGAATAACTATCTTTAATATCATGATTTTAATACTTTTCCTTCCTACTGAAAAAAATGGCAATAACATACGTTTTTTTTGCTGCTACAGTGGTGTAACCCGTTAAGTCAATTATTAAACATTTCGGGAAGTTCATACAACTAGGCTTAGGACATAATGCTACTATTAACTATTTTCATATTACGCTTATGTATAATATAATTATTATTACGGCGACATTTTAAAACAGTTAGTTTTACTATTTCAATTTGAACCCAGCTTTATAATTGATTGCGCAAACCGAGCGAAAGATGTCGCTGTAGTATTCTACTCGTGAGATAACTCCAGTTGGAGTTGGGTGTCATTGGGTGTGTACGTACATCAATGGAATGTTAAAGTGTATTTAGTGGTGTTTAGTGACACAAATATTGCTACCTGTTAAACACGCATGTTTAAAATCGTTAAATAGTTCATTAGTTATTATTTAATTGTAAGTATTGTTTAATTTACTTCGGCTACTAATAATCATACTTAAGAATCTTAATTCCACCGGCAGTTAGCTGTTGTTGTCGTACTGGAATCTGAAGTGCAAATTTTGTGAAGCTATCGGAAAAGTTTTGAGGAATATCCAGTGTTATCGTAATTAATTATTTTACTAAATTGAAACATTTTTTTCTACCATCGATTCATACTTAACCTGTTTCAATTGTGGTTCCCCTTTACTTTCTCTGCATGTTGCCACCTTTTTGATTTGACTGATCAGACGTGTCATTTTTACATATTTACAGTTCATCTAATTTTTAGAATTTGTTACGAAGTTTATATACAGTTCTCCGGAAATTTGTTATAAATAATTTTTTGTTCGTATTAAACCTTAATTTAGATATTAATTCCCAAATGTGTTTGCTTTAATATTATATACTGGTCTGATTTAAGCAATATCCACAGGTGACATTGATCGGATCTGTTAGCAAAGGCTTCCAAAATGCCGAAATCGGTAAGTTTAAACATTTATTATTAACATTAGCTATTAAGATTGCAAAATTATATTTAAATATCATTCTTTTCATTCATATCATGCACAATTATTATTATCTAAAGATTTAATTAATTCCATTTACATATATTTATATGAAACTATTCTTAATATTACAATATTATTAACTTACACAAAGCTATTAAATATTTTCGTCATATATATGTATACAATTATATATATATATACCAGTGGAAAGAATATTAATATTGAAGATATTAACACATTTCACACATTCATTCTTCACAAGACAGATTTCATGACGTATTTAACTAAATTTATTTATTTATATTTGCACTGGTGATGAGGCTAGTCATAGTTTCTAAACATTTTAACTTCATCTATTAATAAAATAGTGCAAAATTTTGTATACGTTTTCAATGTTATTCACAGAGCCGGATTTAATTTTATGCCGCCTTCATTGATCAATTGAAGTTTGTTTTCAAAAAGGCATGAATTATTTGAAAATATTTTTGATTTTTCAGAAAAACTTCATATGTTTATTAATTCCCAAAAATTAAAGAATCAAATATTATCTTTTTAAATTTCGTGGAAATAAATTAAACTAATTCAATGGTTTTACAATTAAATTTTCAAAATTATAATATACAAAGTTTAAATTTGCTACATAATGCGTAAATTATATTTCTTGAAATAAAAAATATTAAGAATTGTTATTTATATAGTTAATTATATTGCATAGAATTTTTTTCTCGCTCTCCAAATTTTGCCGCCTTAGAAAATTTGCCGCCCTGGGCGCCTATTATGTATTTGTATTATATATTTATGTATGTATATATATGTATATATGTGTATATATATATATATATATATATATATATATATATATATATATATATATTGTTCTTGGGCATCCATCCAATAATTAAAACGTTTTGACCCATCTTCAGCGCTAAATTAAAAAAATTCAGGGTTAGAATTTAAAGTAGATATATAAAAAAAAACAAAATTACAAAAATATAAAAATAAACATGTAAAATCATAAATCTAAACAATTTATTGAATTTATTATATAACAAATATTTATTGTTAACGTCTATAAAGGTGGACTACAGAACTAAAAATTAACAATGAAAAAAACTCACCATACAAATAAATTAAAGAAAAAAACACACGAAAATATATAAACGCCAATTGAAATAATATCCATTTAAATGTCAATTTTTAATAAATATTAAATTAAACAAAATAAAAAATAAATGTAGGTAATAGTAATAAATATATGTAGGTGTATACGTTTATATATGCATATATAAATGAGTTCATTGATATTTGATTTTTTTTTATTTCATGACTGTTTTGATGATAAAATTGACATGATTTTTATTTGTAGCATTTTGAATTTAATATTTACATATAATTAACGTATTGGTGTTTTTTATCTCTCATTTTGATACGCAAATTGAATATTTTGAATTTTGCATTTTTCTTATTGTATTTTTCATACAAGTTTTCAAAATCAAACCAATGAAAAATATTTATCACGATTTTTAATGATTTTGTATAATTGATATAATAGTTATTATTTTGTTAATTATAACATGACTATTATTTTGTGCTATTCTGATTAAAATTTTCTTAATTAATTATATTATAAAGTATAAAATTTTTAGATTCAAGCATGAGTTTTTATATTCGCTTTTTATTAACCGCCGGTGATGAATCTATGATATCAAATTGTCCAACTGAAACTCTTAAAATTTTTGAAAACAGTAGTTTCTAACCTTTTTTGCCCCGCGCCCCCTGCTCTAATAAAAAAAATTGTTGCGCTCCCCATTCATTTTTTCAACAGTTCAATTTTATAAATACTCAACTCATATTAAGACTACAAATTAATATGTAATATAATATTGTTGATTTGCAAATATATGCATAAAACTAATTATTTTTTAACTTCCCGTAGGGTAAGTTATTGTAATGGGCCGAAAATCGGAATTGAAAATTTTTACATTTTTCGACGTTTTGAAGGTTTCTGAACGTTTTGGCATACCTCAGAAAAAATGGATGTGTGTGTGTGTGTGTGTGTGTGTGTGTGTGTGTGTGTGTATGTGTGGATACAAATTTCCAGTCACGTTTTAGGGCGCACGGATCAACCGATTTGAATGGTTCAAAAAACATTCGATTCCTATTGATAGGGAAAAGAGCTGATTAGTTTTTGGCAAAGGCAGGTTCAGCCGTTTCGGAGATACGGAGCAAAGAGTGCAGAAAATAGAAATCGAATTTTTGAGCGAACGGAGTATCCGATTTGAATGATCTAAAAAACATTCAATTAGTAATGATTGGGAGAAGTGTTTATTAGTTTTTGGCAAAGGCAGGCCCAGCCATTTCAAAGATACGGAGCTAAATATGTAAAAAATGGCAGTTTTTGAGAGAACTAAGCGTCCGATTTAAATGATTCAAAGAACTTTCTGCTTGTCTTAACAAAATAATTGATTTTGGAAAAAAAAATTTTGTTCCATTTTTTTTTTTTTTTTTTTTTAACTTCCCGTAGGGTAAGTTATTGTAATGGGCCGAAAATCGGAATTGAAAATTTTTACATTTCTCGACGTTTTGAAGGTTTCTGAACATTTTGGCATACCTCAGAAAAAATGGATGTGTGTGTGTGTGTGTGTATGTGTGTGTGTGTGTGTATGTATGTGTGGATACAAATTTCCAGTCACGTTTTAGGGCGCACGGATCAACCGATTTGAATGGTTCAAAAAAACATTCGATTCCTATTGATAGGGAAAAGAGCTGATTAGTTTTTGGCAAAGGCAGGTCCAGCCGTTTCGGAAATACGGAGCAAAGAGTGCGGAAAATAGAAATTGAATTTTTGAGAGAACGGAGTATCCGATTTGAATGATCTAAAAAACATTCAATTAGTAATGATTGGGAGAAGTGTTTATTAGTTTTTGGCAAAGGCAGGCCCAGCCATTTCGAAGATACGGAGCTAAATATGTAAAAAATGGCAGTTTTTGAGAGAACTGAGCGTCCGATTTGAATGATTCAAAAAACTTTCTGCTTGTCTTAACAAAATAATTGATTTTGGAAAAAAAAATTTTTGTTCTATTTTTTTTTTTTTTTTTAGTTTTTTGTTGAAACAAATAATTTCAACTTTGCAATTCAGTTTATATAATTTTTATAAATATTAGACAATGTTACAATATTTATAATAATCTATTTGAAAACATTCAGTATTCCTCGAACATTTCGTTACGGTGCGGGAAGTTCCAGCAATTTGCCTTAAGGCACGATGCCATAATTGCCTCAAGACAGAATTCCACTTACAGCTAGTTTTGTTAATGTTTTAATATCGTTCTAAAAATATTGGGTAATTTTGCCCCCACATTAGAACAGCCTGGCGCCCTCTTGAGGGGGCGCGCCCCACAGGTTGGAAACCGCTGAGTTAAAACATATTATATTTATTTAATCATCATGTATACAGATATCGTTCAATTTTCTCCTGACTCGAGCAATGTTTCAATAATGTTCATGTTCAAAAACTACGATATATTTGAAGACATGCATTCATTAATTAATTTGCTTTTTCACACACAAGCTGGATTTACAGTAGGGGCAGTCGGGCCTACTGCCCAGGGCGGCAAATTTTCGGGGGCTGCAAAATTTCGATAGTGAGAAAAAAATGTTATAAAATGTAATTACCTAATTTTTTTTAATAACATTTTTTATTCTAAGAAATATAATTAACAAAACATAATACGATTGCAATGCAACATTTGGGTTCAGATAGCCGATTATTAAAATTTATTACTTTGCTTTGTCTCCATCTCCGAACGTAAATTATCAAATTGGTTAATAAGTTATTATCAAATTTGGCAATCTGGCTAATATAAAGTTTAAAACTAGCTGAAAGTTAAAGAAAATTATGTTCTTCAGATCTCGAGCCCTTTGTCGAGGACGACAAATTTGTGCACTTCAAAGCTTATAGCGCCTAAAAAAATTAAACTAGTGACGCATGGCATTATTTCATTAATTACTACAAATTCCTGGAACTTCTCGTACTAAAAATTACATTTTATAAAGAGCTTCAAGATTTTTAGAAAAATGAAATAAATGCCCTTTAAAAAACGTTTTTTATATGTATATTGACATTTTTTGAAAATTATGAACTTTTTTCAAAGCAATCGCGCTGCGAAAAATTTCAAAAATATTTCAAAATATAAAAAAAATCTCAAATATTCAAAAATTGATTTTTTTTAAGTTTTCAAATTTTTTTTTTTAATTTTAATTTTTTTACGGGAATAATATATAAAAACAATTTAAGTAAAATTTTAGGGATGGGGCGGCATTTTTGTCAGTGTCCCAGGGCGCCAAGTTTCTAAATCCGGCCCTGCACACAAACTACTATATGATTTCTTAAACGATTATGCCGCTAAAAATGCTATTAAATCATCTATTGGCAAACTAGTGGGGCGCATGGTATCGTGCCTTAAGGCAAATTGCTGGAACTTTCCGTACTAATAATTATTTTCTTTTAAGAAGATTAACTGCTAGACCTGCCTTCATGAAAATTTGATCAATTATTCATCTTGTCAATACAAGTAAAATGTTTTTTGAATTATTAAAATCGAACGGGTCCGTTCTCTTAAAAACTGGGTTACCGTTTGTGGCACTTTTTGCCCCATATCTTCGGAACGGCTAGACCTGCCTTCGCCAAAAACTAATCAGCACGTCTCCCTATCAACAGCAATCGAATGTTTTTTGAAAAATCGAAATCAGTTGAACCGTGTTCCCGAAATCGTCGACGAAAATTTGTATCTGAACACACACACATACACGCACATACACACACAAACACATACATCCATTTTTTCTAGGGTATGCCAAAAAGTTCAGAAACCTTTGAAACGTAAAGATATATAAATATTTTCATTTTCGATTTTTTTGCGATTACTATAACTTGCCCTAGGGGAAGTTAAAAATTGCTTCCTGAACAGTAA